ATTGTTAACATGATTACATTAGTTATCTTATTCGATTAATGTTAATACTTGTAAGCATTATCAGGCATTCATGTTTATAACTTATGTTAACAATAAATCAAATTCCTTTCTGGCACAGGTGTTAGTTATACTATACAGTGTGGACTATAAAAGTGCCAAGTTGGCACAGGTGTTAGTTATACCATACAGTGTGGACTATAAAAGTGCCAAGTTTCTTGTGTAAACAATTCAGCTCATTTGGACTTCTAGAACTCCAGATATGGCCAAAATACCGAACAGTGCTCGGGCTGGAAGACAGATTCGGGCTTCTTTGTTGTTGCTACAATTTGGACTTGATAATGGCCTTTTTAGATCTTGGGCTCCATATGAAAGTTGTAGGCCTATGTCTTACCTTTCCATCCATATAAATTGGACCTAAATCTGAGATCTGTAGCTCCAGATATGACCCAATTACCGAACAGTGTTCCGGTTTGGATTGCACCGACATCTCTTTTCTAAGTTTGGTCATCTCTTTATCCTTGCAATTTAAGTTCTTAAAGTCATCAATCAATTTTTTCATTTATGTGATAGGCCTGCATTTAAAATGAACATTTACCACAAATTAAAGGTATCTTATATTATTAGATATATTATTATAAAACATGTTTTAGTTAAGGAGTTATTGATACTTCAAGTGCAATATAATGATATAAAACCTTGATAAAAATACACTTTTAAATATTAATCAGTTGGAACAAAATGTTTAGGCCTTAAAAAAAGATGAAATGCCAGCTTAGGATAGCCTATGTGTCTAGGCCTTCTTTTATTTATTTATTTTAAGAGGTGAATGACATTATATATATAAGCGACATAGCAAGCGACATGTCGCCTGATATTTTATACCTAACCATTTATGGTGGCTAAAAAGTTAGGTAGCTGACTCTTTGGCGTAAAAATTCTATTTTGATATTTTTTTCTACTAAAAACACCAAAGAAACAACACAAGAATATTTAAAAACCCATTTCTAGAATTAAATTAGCATCTAATATGTTAAAAACTAAAAAATCAACTCGAGTCTAAAAACATTCTCAAGGCTAGACCTTTTTTTTTAGCAACATAAAATTTAAATAAAATTCTCCTCATTAAATGAAACACATTGCAACCAAGAAGGATGAATTTCATAATTAAAAAGTGGCATATCCATTTTCTCTTTCTTTCAATATAATTTGATGAATCTTTATTTCTCTTGTTTTGAACTTGTGAACTAAAATGTTAACAAAATAAAGTTTTAGATAAAACTATTTAATTTATAAAATAAATGGGTCAAAAAATAAATTTGACAAAATCCCAAAAGCAAAATGAGGTGAAAAGATAATAAAATTATATAGGCCTCATAATTTCTCTGTCTTAATTTTGGTTACCTAAATTTTATTGTTTGGTTACCTCAAAAAATAAAATTGGACTCTTTTCATGAAATGAACACTAACCCTATGATGTGATTTTTTTATATCAAAATAATCATGTAAGACTATCAACCCTAAACCCCAATTAACAAAAAGTTGAAGGATCAAAATGAAAAAAGCAAAATTTGATGAACGAAAAAGAAAAAAAAAGAAAAGGAAGAGGATTAGAAGTAGCACTATATTTTTCTTAAAACTAAAGGCTTACCATTATTTATTTGTTCCAATTTTGTTCCTCTTATTTTCAATTTCTTACAAACAATAAATTTGAATTTTTTTTCATAAAATCAAGCATTAACCTAATATTGAAATTTTTTCAAAACTATGATAAGCATATATAATAAGAATCAAAACAAATTATCAACTTTAAATTCAACAAAAAAAAATTAAAGGATAAAATTGATAGGGGAAAAATAAATGATAAAATAAAAAAAATAAAAATAAAAATGCAAAATATTAACTCAACAAAAAAAAATTAAAGGATAAAAATGAATGATAAAATAAAAAAATAAAAATAAAAATAAAAATAAAAATGCAAAATATTATATGAAACCACAATGTTTACCTTAGAAGCCAAAATGCTTTACTAATGGCTTTTAGCTTCTTCTTTTTTTATTAGTAGTTTAATACACCTTATCTCAAACTATGATACAATGGAGAATATCGATAATAATTTTATAAATATCTAATCCTTTATTCTAAAGAAGCTTATAATAAGTCTAGAAAGAATATGATTTGAAAGTAAACTGAGGGCTGCGTAGGTCTAAATCAAGCAAGGAGGTCAAGATTGTCTTAGCCAATAGTTACGAACAATTTGGATATAATTAAAGAACATATCAAAGATCACTCGTTGCATTGAAAAGAAAAGACAAGAGAAAAAGAGTATAATGTTTAACTTAAAATCATGTAATTTATCACAAAATCATTTTAATTTGTTTATCAATTATTTAAAGAATGATAGAGCACCTGAAAAAAAAATCAACCTCACCTTTGATCATACCATCCAATATACAGACAATCAACCTAACATTCGATCAAACAATCTATTATTTAGTTATTAACCAAACCCATTTAAACCAAGAGCTGGTCAATCAACCTAATGTTTAATCAAGCCATCTAACATCTAGTCAACCAATCAAATCTTTGAAAAAAGTGAGGAGAGAAGGGGAAAAAAAAAGTGGGTTAGACAACCTAATCTTGGACTAAACTTAACCTAACCTATACCATACATCTAATATATAAATTGATTACTCTCTAAGCCAAGCTCAACCTAATCCTCTTTAGCCTAGACCTAACCAACCATTAACTTAAACCCAATCAAAGGTAGAGAATAAAAAGAGAAAAGGGAAAAGGCTAGCCCAACCTAACCCTTTCAAGCCCAATTAGACTCTTTCCTAGCCAAGCCCAACCAAATATAAAAAATAAAGAAGGCTATGAGAAAATCCAAACCTAACTAAACCCTCTTCAATTATGTCTCAACTAAACCCTACACCTAGAACACTACCCTTTGTCACCAATAAACAAACTTTTTCTAGCCAAACTTTCTATCAGTAGTCATTTCCAATCTTGACTTTACACTAATTCTTCTAGTTTACCCCCCTTCCAACAATAACAATATCTAAGCCTAACTTTATATCAATTGTCCTAGTTTGGGCATTACTTTCACCAATATCTTTTTCTCAAATACCAACCTATCAACCAATAAAAAATATGACACACTAACTAATGGCATAACTATATATAAAAAATAGATATTCCTAATTTTTTTTTTCTTCACACCAAGTAAGCTTATACGATCTTTGGTATTTATAAATATCATAGGTCACTAGAGAAGAAATAAAGCTCTCTTAAGCCTACAACATACATTACTCTCTCTATTCTAAACATTTTCTCTCTACACACTCTATCTTTACACACACATTCCACCCCTTCTACATTTAATAACTTAAGCATTGTAAAATCTTCTATTTTGATTTTCAAAAAAAAAAAAGTTTACAGGTTAGTCACTAGCCTTACAAGTAACCATAAAAAGCCCATATTCATTCTAAAGTTTTTCATAACTTTATCAAAGAACAAGGAAGACCACGAAAGAAACAATAGAACCATAAGTGTAGGTTATAAAAAGATATAAAGAAAAAAGTTTTTGGTACATGTTAACAAATCAATTGAATGGAATGCTATAATAACCACTTGATTTTTTATTTTTGAACTTTTTTCCCTTTTTAGTTTAACCCCTTAATAGCCCAATTAAATAGAACTAGGCTCTAATTTATCATTATAACACAAAATTAAAAGAATGAGGAATGAAAAGTAAAACATGGAGAAATTACATGTTTGACACTAAACTTATGATAATTTTTTATTGTGGTTCAAAAGTTTATTTTTATTTATTTATTTAGTTCATAGCTTTGAAAGAAGAGAAAGAAAGTCACCTTAAAAAACCAAGAAGAGAGAAAAGGTTGGTTAGGCCTCTTTTTTGCAAAAAAAAGTAGTTGTTCTTGGTATCAACAAGTTACATGTGATAAGTGAAGTTTGATAGTGATTTTTAACATTCATGAGAAAGAAGATCAAGCTTGGTTTAGAGATTTCTCAAGCAATTAATTTTGAAGGTGATTTTAGGGTTATTATGTGATTTGGGAAGATATTTTTTTTTTGTGAAAATGAGTTTAATAATAATAATAATAATATGAATAAAAGTACTACCCTTATTTTTCCAATCATCGTAATAATTGATAAATTTTACGCTGCAAAAAAAAAAGAGATGAATGATTTGTTATCTGTCACCTAACAACAAAATATTAGTGACCTAAGCACGTAAACTCAGGCTCAATTGTCTAATGTTTTTTTGTAAAATGCTCAGTTGCACTAGGTCACTAAAACCTAAGCATCTAGTTTATTGAATTTCTTTATAAAAAAATTATCCTTCAATGTTATATTAATTATAAAATAATTTTTGTGTTTCTTATCATATAATAAAATTAAAAATAATTAACTGAATATCATAAAATTCACAATACAAGTTTTACTAGTTAACCTAGCTAAGGTTAACCTAACATTTTTTTTCCCCAGTAATCCACCAATTAATAAAATCACACTAGAGCAACCCTTGTAAAATTTAATTTAAAATCAAAGTTAAACAAAAAAAATCACATAAAAAGTTTTGAAGTTTGACACATTGCTTAATCACAATGTTAATAACTTATTAGGATCTAGATATTCTTTTTTCTACGTTAAAATAATCTGGGTCCAGGCCACGGACTAGTATGGCACTTAACTATTAGTGTAATCTTCTTTTAATGTTATGTTATTAATATCACTCCTATTATGTATTTGTGTACAGAAAGGGAGAATGTATAACTGAGGAGTCAGAACCTCCCAACAGAGAATTGAACCTTCTAACACTTTCACAAAGTACATACATTCAAGTGAGTTAAAAGAAAGAGGAGGTAAAGTTTTACATTTAAGTGAGTTAAAAGAAAGAGGAGGTAAAGAACCATATTGCAAGTCATATAATAAGGTGGAAGCTAGCCACATCCTAACAAACAAGCGATTTTGATTTGGATTCAAGCTCAAGAAAAGGCCCCCTTCCTCACTTCCAGATATATGCATGTACATTTCAACATGCATTAAAATACGGGAAAATCTTTTTATAGAGTTAAACATATATAGGATTGAAAGTTGAATGCGATGCTGTCCACAATAGCTGCTGATGGAATTGCTATGCCGCCAAGTCCAGCCATTTAAATTTTCGACCATAATGTCCACAGACGAAGAGAGAAACCATGGATCACAGAAAATAGATATAGATGGCAATATCAGTCACAAGAATCCCCTAAGTTAGGTTTTCTTGCATTGTACATGATTTGCCACAGCTCTACATCATTTCCTCTCTCATATTCTCGAACATATTGCGGAATTAATGACAGGTCAAGACATTTTCCCACAAAACAAGGGGAGGATCCGTGTTTAAGGTTTTCATATTCTGCATCACGCATACATCACTATATTATAAATTTAAAAATTGGAAATGGATTATAGTATGTCAAGCAGAGATAATATGGAACAAACTCACCTTCCTCCCCTCTAAGATAACTTCGGAAATGTGAGTAACCATTTGCCACAACATCAAGATCATCTAGACTGAAGTTGTAGCGCTTTTCCAACGCCAAGTACAAAACCTTAAAACAAAGAAATGTAACTGCCAATTAATATCTTGCAGAACATTGAGCTTCAAGAATTCTAACAAAGCAATCCTGCAAATACTGTGAAATGCAACAGAATCATGATTCAAAGTGCATATGGGATGACTTATAAACAGTGATAACCAATGCATTGTAGTTCATCTAGCAATGCATCCATTGAGAGCCTTGTATGCTTCCTTTGGCTGGATGAATCAGCCTTTTGTAATCTACCAAGGAAAAACTAGCCCCCCCAAACAAAAATAAAATAAAAAATTCGATAAGGAATGCATAAGTCACGTTGCCATGACATGTGTTCTTACTAAAACAGGTCATTTACATCATATAAAGATCTCAAATGTTTCATATGTTATCACTGTTCCATCCTGATTTATAAATGCTATATTTCATATTGTTTGCTATCCAATCCGGACTTCATGAATGCTGTTCTCCTTTGTTGATGCATACCTTTTTTGGACCAAGCGACATTAGTTTCTCTAGAATACAGAAAAAAGCATCAGTTAGATCATCGCTGTAAATTACATCAGCAGCTACAAGTAAAGCAGCTCTCTCAGCTTCTTCAACATTCGAGGATGTCCAAGAATAACTGTTATCACCATTGAAGAAAATGCAATGTTTTTCTTAAAGTATATCACTATCAAATAAAATAACTGTAAAATGAGGAAAAACTCTTTTGACAGATGGGAAACTACAGTGACTGTTGAAAAGAATATCAATTAACCTTTTATGACACATAGAATTTCCTGAACTTGTTGAGGGTGGCCAGGAGTCCATCCAATCAAGTTCACGGACATGAATGCTTCCTTGATAGTTTAACACTTCAGAATTGAGATCAACATTACTTGCACAATTGTCAAGGATTTCATCTCCACGGTCTGTAGAAAATTACAGAAAGCAGTTTGTTCAAGAATATGAAATCACGAGCATGTCTAACCTTACTCTATCCCTAAGAGTTCACCTTCTTTGAAAAGAGCATTTTAGCGAAATATTAATCAAATCATTCCAACTCAATAATTAAATATGATTTTCCAATATGAATGTTCTGATAATTTGACATATGAAATATCATAGCTCCTGCATTCTAATGATGGACAATTAAGAAAGGAGAAACTAATCCAAAAGCACATTTTTAAATGGGCAATTACCATGAGACTGACAAAAATAAACAGAGGCACAACCACCTTGGAGTGGAGATAAGAGTAAATTTTCACCACCACAGCTAGTAGAAAACAATATATGGAACCAAATTCGCCTAACACAGAAGATCAAATTCATGGAAACCAACGAATTGAAGGTCACCACTGGTTATAAACAGAATTCCATATTTTCTTCAACTTGCTACATTAATTCAAGCAACAAACCAAATTCTAATTTGAAAGTAGAAAAAAAAAAAGGTTATAGAAGATACAAAATGTTGCGAACAATTGATTGGCGTGTCAACCCAAATGATTGACACAATAAAAAAATTAAGTAATTGAAAGGTGCATTCCTGAGAGTGATAATCTTAGATGATCTAGCAATAAAAACCCATAAAGATAAGGTTCAACATATAAACACGGCCATTGGATACCTGTTAGGAACACTGTTTTAGCAACATGTGCAAGCAACATACCAACTAGCCCTGGCAAAGACAGTGAAATAAATTCCTGTCACACAAGAAATACTCATGATTCAGGTTGAGAGCATTTAAGATAGTAAAATTTAGAACATATAATATCAAAAAAGAAAATTTTGAGATTGTACAAGTGGCTCAGCTACTCCTAAGAATCAGAAGATGAATCCATGGGACCCTTATTTTCTATTCATTTCAGACAGAATCCAATTCATTTCGACCAATGCTGGTGGGTGGGTATTTGTCATTCTTTCTAAATTCCTGCACTATAATTTATCAGTTTTGCTAGCAAATCTTCTTGAATTAAAGGAAACGCTTTAAAAAAATAAAAAAAAGTGGCCAGGATCTAGTCACTGGATGCCAGGAGCAACATGATCAAATCACATTGTATGGCCATCAAATCACAAGTGACATAATATTTGACAGAAATGAAATAGCACCAGTGATCAACATACCTGTTCCAGCTCCAAGTTCTAATGAAACAATCTCATCAAAGTCAGATGAAGTCAACATCTTATGCAACACAAAATCAGATAACAGTAATTCAGCCTTCCAAACCTGAGAGTGGAGAACAGGTTATATATGATTATGATTATCTCAATAAAAATAAAAACTTACTAAGAAACCAATAATCACCTGCAACCCAACATTTGAAATTGATGATGTGATATTATGCTGGATGGTTACACTAAAACTACGAGTTGGCAAATCTGCGCATTTGGACAACAAATACTCCAAGAGAGTTCAAATCTTTCTCATAAATCCAAACTTAAGAAAGAAGATCATATCAATCCCTTCATCATTTATCACAACTTATTTCACTCCAAAAAAGCAGAAATGGAAAGGGTTAGGTAAGAAGGTGAACAAAAACCAACCTGCAAATCTAATTTTTCACAAATATGAACATTGCGCTATTATTAGGCAAGATAATCAGTCTCGGTGCCTACTGGATTTTTTTATTATTCTTATTGGTAGGAAATTCACTATTTTACATCAAATTTTTCAGGTTCATGTTAAAAACCCTTGTCAAGGCCGTTAAAAAATTCCCAAAAAAAATTTCGGGAGTTACGACTTACAATCTAATTACAACTTGCACTGCTAATCCTATATATATTCAGTAACATGACACAAAAAGTAAATCTAGTAGAGAGAGAAAGAGATTTGTGAGTACTTACAGTGATGAGTATTCAGTAATATGACACAAAAAGTAAATCCAGTAGAGAGAGAGAGAGAGATTTGTGAGTACTTACAGTGATGAGCATGGCGTCTGGTTAATATAAGATCACCATCTTCATCCACACAAACCATTTGGTGAATAGGAACCTGCTCATCTTTGAACAGATTATTAAGTCTTCCACAATCAACACCTAACATAATTAATTATCGTGAACCAAAAAAGAAGATTAGTTACATAAGAATGCAATGAAGTTTGGACAGCAAAATCAAAATCAATTACCAGGCGGGATGGAGATGGTGAAATGAGAAATATGGGGCCCAGAGGAGCCAGGTGGACAACCAAGATGAACCTCGCTCATCACATGATCCTCTTGGCCCTCCTCCTCCATTTGCTCTTGATTCAATTTTTCTAAACTCTCTTTTCCTACTGATGAATGGTGTTTAGCAGCAGATTTGATTATTATTTCTTAAGAGAGAAATACAAGAAAGAGAATAAAAATTTAATTTTTAGCCTGGGTAAAAATAAGTTTATTAGGTGTACGTTTTTAGCTTTCGTTATTTATATCCGATATTCGAGAAATTGGTAATAATTATTTTTTATTTAATAATATATTAAAATTTATTTTTATTACCAATATATTAAAATAATTAAAAATACTAAAAAAATATTATATTAAAATAAAAAATATTTTTAAAATATTTTTAAAACACTTAGAAACAGGGCGTGTTCCTATAAAGTAAATATTGATAAACTTAGAAACTGTGCGTGTTCCTATAAAGTAAATATTGATAATCATCCAAATACTTTAATATCCCCCATATCTCATTTAAAAAATTTGGTGAGATTCATTTTATATACACAAGATTGAAAAATTATCCAAGAAGATGGTGATAATTGGTTTTTAAAATATTTTTATTTAAAAATATATTTTTAATATGGAACATTAAAATAATTTAAAATAAAAATATTTAAAATTTTTAAAATATAAAAACAAACACACATAAAAGTTTATTGCGCATAATATATACAAGCATAGTTTTAAGAACCGGTTTAGTGGCTGGTCCGATTCAAAACCCTGGTTTCGGGTTTTGATCAGGTCACCGGATTAGCAGGGTTAAATTTTATTTTTTAAAAAAAAATTAAAAGAACGTCGTTTTAATAAAAAAGATAAAAAAAGAAAAAAAGTCAACGGGTTTATAATCGGTTCTTAACCAGGTCAATCTACCGAGCCATATTGGATTTTTTTTTCTTTTATTTTTTTTCAATCCAGTCCAATTCTATTTTTGGATCGGCCGAATTTCGAATCAACCTGCCAAGTCGGACTGGTTCAAAACTCAGTATACAAGGACACTTGTGTATTCTTTTATTGAGTTTAATAAAGGCTGGGGAGGATTCTCATAAATTGTTATGATGTTCCGCTTGTTTACAGCAAGTGAGAGTGTGGAAAACCTCCATGAGGCTGTAGTTAGGGCTTAGATTGACGCACGGTAGGCAGAAATTTGAGTGAGAAATTTACCCTCATGAAAATGATGGGTATTCGGGCTCCGAAGCTTATAAGGATTTGTGACCCAAATTCGTATGCCAAACAATCACGTGACTATGGAAATGACATTAGAGAGATTGACGCCCCTCAAAGGCTTGATAGGACTTGTTCCGGAAGATGAGAATTGCCCAGTAAATGATAGGCAGTCATGGAAAACATTGAAAGGGCTAAGAAGCAATACATTATTCTTGCGACAAAAACAAGTCGATGGTTGCAAGCTACATAGGATTTTAAGGCAAACCTAGAGATGGATATGGTGGAACCTCTCAAAGTTCAAGGCAAAGTAGAAGGAGGAAAAGAAAATGAAGAAAAAGTTTACTGGAATCAATCCCAGCCTGTTGCATGCTGGCAAGGCGCATGTTACTTAAGTTAACTTCACATATCTTAAAGCAGATTGTGAACGTGAAGCAAATTGTATATTTTTTTATTTTTAGATTATTTTGATATCTTGATATCAAAAATAATTTTTAAAAACTAAAAATAATATTATTTTAATATATTTTTAAATAAAAAACAATTAAAAAAACAACCAAATCATACTTTTAAATACCCTTTAACACATTGCAGGTTGGTGCCAAAAATTGATGATAGTGGTATATAGGCTGAAAGTTACCTGAATGGATAAAACAACCCTCCTACATTCCATGTGAGCTACTAGTAACTATTTTATGAAGACAACGGGAATTAAAAGAGGAGCAAGTTGTCAAAATCCTAGATCATCGTAGTTTTGGCTGAGATAAAATTAAAGAATCAGCGAGCCAAGTTATTAGTGAATGGAACATAACCTGCAAGAGGTTTCGTACAAGAAAAACATTGATTTGTAACAATTTAAAGAACAAGGTTGCACCAGCGAACACACTGCTTGAAATTTGCACAAGAAGCTGGGAACTCGCATGTATAGTGGTGAAATTGTTAGGGAGCGTGTAACAATTTGTGTGACCAGTGGTTCCATGTTAGTATGAACAAAGGCCTGGGCGATGGACTGCTCCATCCATGGCGAACATAACTAGTTTTTCTGTTTTTTCATTAATACGAGAATCAAGGTTAATTTATACATGTCTCAATTAATTTCATGGGATTTAAAGTTAATGATCATATAAATCTTAGTAATCCTGAAATTTATGAAACTCAAACTGATAACTTCTAAAAAACAAACTCAATATCTAACTAATTAAACTGCACCATTCTAAATTAAAACTCAACTTTAGTAGCAGCAGTGGTGTTAGGAAGGAGGCCAGTTGGCATCCAAGGAAGTTGCAACAGTAGTTAATTCCACGGGATTTAAAGTTAATGATCATATGAATCTTAGTAATCCTCAAATTTATGAAACTCAAACTGATAATTTCTAAAAAACAAACTCGATATCTAACTAATTAAACTGCACCATTCTAAATTAAAACTCAACTTTAGTAGCAGCAGTGGTGTTAGGAAGGTGGCCAGTTGGCTTGACAGTTGGCATCCAAGGAAGTTGCAACAGTAGTGTCTAGTTGTAGGAGAAAAATAGCCAGATCATGGGCGAGTTGGTAACTGGCGTGGGACATGGTTGAACATGTCTTCAAAACTACCAAGTTCATGGAGAACTTGTAGTGAACTGCCCCGCTTGCTAAGAAGTGGGGAGAGTTTTCATATGAACTTCCACAGTTTTTCTACAAGAACACTGTAAAATATGTCATGCAGTACTATGCAATACCTTGTAGACAAAAGGTTTATTGTGCACAAAATGTAAGACTTGCGTATGCCTTTGTTGAGTTATTAAAAGTAGGGGAGAAGGATTAATGTAAGTTGTTGTGCATTACATATTTTCTGGTGTGTTCTGCTTGTATTACAATGAGGAGTGAGAGGGTGAGAAATCTTCATTGAGATATGAAATACTTTAGACTTGCATAAACACAATTGAATCAGTGTTAAGATTAAGAGGATATTTAGAAATATATTAAAATAATTTATTTTTAAAAAATTATTTTTAACATTAGTATATTAAAATAATTTAAAAATATAAATTAAATCTGTGAAGGATAGATTGTTGCTGAGTAGTTGGAGTGAAAATCTTACCCCTTAACTGGCACATCCCATAATGACCTGGCTATTCAACAAATTGTTAACCTATGGGCTATTTACATATATGTCGTAGAAAATTGTTTTTGGCATATTAAATCAGAAAATTACACTAATCAACTGTTACATTCTACAAAAGCGAAGCATGAAAATAAAAAAAAAACACACGCACACACTTGCTGCTAGTAAGATTAGAGAAGCACTTCAATGTCCAAGATCAAGAAAGGCATGGAAAAAGCAATCTGAACCTAAACGTATCATGAATGCATTAGAATCTGCATCTTTTTTGACATTTTTTAGAGTGTAAACAAATTTTAAGGAACCAAATGGTTAGAAAGTAAAACTACTAATTCTGAGCACCTCACCTATGAGTAGACACTCCAGAAGAGTGCAAGTTTACCCTTCTTTTTTTTTTTTTTTGCGTTTTAAAGTATAGAAAGAATGCTGAGTAAGCTATTTAAGAGCCCAATGAAATCTTTTTATCTTCCCTTAAGAGCCGCAATCCGAGCTGCCAAATCATCATAATCTGGGAGGTTGGGATGCAATCGACCAGTCATTTTCTCTGGCTGTGCTGAAACAGCTCGACCAAGCCTTGTTGCTGCGCCTGTTTGAGTTCCTGGTTCTCGCGGGCTTGTTGCTCTCCCAGGTGGAAGAGGTAACTCAGATATTGCATTTCTGTGCCTCGTGCTTTTACAAGAATCATCACTTATTTTCCTTGAAGGAGGGTTTGTATATGGATTCAACTTGCTCGGTTCATAAGGTGAGTCATTCTTACTATAATGCATCAAAAGTCCATCTATTTCCTTTTCTTTTCCATCCCTTTGATCATCATCATCATCATCATCTTTTAGAAAGATTCTAAGACCTCGTCTAGGCTCTTCTTGCTTCATTGCAGTTGAATTAATACTGGCAGACTCATCCCTTTCAATACTGCCAACTCTTTCACGACCTGGTGGTGGCTTCAATGGTCTTTCAATACTGCCAAAATTTGTGTGCCCTGGTGGTGGCTTCAATGGCCTCCTTCGGACTGATCTTGGTTTTGGCTTGGTTTCATTGGTCGAATCGTCTGCATGATTAGCTTCCTCCGCAGCAATTTTATCACTTGATTTTAGGGGTTCTTCAATCTTGCTTTCTTTCTCAACTATTGTTCTGCGGTACGGGGGAGTAGTAAACCTATAGGAAATAGGCTTCTTGCTATCTACTTCATCCTCTGAAACACTTCCAACTGAACTCGAACTAGCTAGTGTGGTATCTTGGTCAGTGCTATCTCTCCTGCTGACTGAAAAAACATCATCTTCACTGCTGCTTTGCAGCTTGTATCTGTCATCACTGACATTCTTCCTTCCTTGATATTTGAAAATCCTTTCATCTCTTTTTAGCAAGGTATCCTCCTTCGTGTCATTCACACTGTTGCCCAAGTCATGGCTGACTCTTTTTGTTGAAGCATCATCATTGTTCTTTTCCCATATGTAATCATCATCATCATTCAAGCTGTTCTTTTTTGTAAACGCATCATGCTTGCTTTCCTTCAGCTTGTGTACATCATTACGAGTACTGGGTAAAGGTTCATGCCTATGACGGTCCTGCAGAAAAAAGTCATTCTCGTTCTAATTATCATCTGGATATTAGATCTTCAAATGCTTTCATGCAGTATGGCTTTTAGTGTCCAATAATCATTATTTGAAGGAAATTTGGTCAGAGACACAAGCAACAATCTTAATTAGCAGCCAAGATATTTTGACACTCCATTCCCAGAATCCTATCGATTTCCCTTTCAGCATGGGTAAATAGTAATTGGGATAGTCAGGGAAGCTTACTTGTTGAGATGGGGGTGGTTTAAAGAGTTTCTGCTCCAAAGACTTTGCATTCCATTCTATGGAAAACTCTTGTGCTATCTCATGCATTAATTGAAGCTTAATCTCCTTTGTGGTAGACTTTGGCTTCAACATCTCAACAAACTGCACATCATTAATCAGCCACATCAGAACGAAAAACCAATATGATCCCATTGAAAGATAAAATAATGCAGAGGAGCTATCTGTTATGACCTCCTTGTTAACGAATGCTTCAAGAGAAGGTCCATATCTACCAATGAATGCAGATCGAAGATCTCGTAGTTCTGGGAATTCAGAAAATCTAGCTGCAGCATATATTAGAGACTGCACAGCTTCTCTGCATTCCTCGGGGCATTCCCTGAATCAGAAAAGGAATGTAGAAGAAGACGTGTGAGTGACATGCTAAAAACAGCTGATTTGAAAATGCAACCCGAGATCGAGCATGAAAAGTTTCGAAAGCCAAACATCTGAAAATGAATTAGCTTAAGGTCTCACAACACTATCATAATAGCATACAGAAAACTAACGTCTCGTAGTTCCTCCAATAGTTAACTTGAAGACACGAAACTAAGGTTATCATAATAGCATACAGAAAACTAAAGTCTCGTAGTTCCTCCAACAGTTAACTTGAAGACACGAAACTAAGGTTCCTTCTTGTATTAATTTTCAGTTGTCACAGCCAGTATTTTCACCAATATTGCCGTTTCTTGAGGCCATTTTCCTAAATGGTGTTAGCTCTTACCACCCCTTGTAACCTGTGTTTACTGGTATAAATACATTAGAAACTGGCAGAAAAATTAGGACTCCTCGAGGTTTTGATAGAGGTAAGGTAAGATGCATAGCTCTGTGGTCAGGAGTCAACTTCATGAGCTTTACTAGCAGTAGGTTACGGCTACCACGCATGAATTAATGTGCTTTCCGGGTCTGTGCTTTTCCTTACCATTCCTTGAAAACAATTTGGTGTTGTTCTTCCTTTTTTTTCCTTAGATGACTGCGTCGGCAATTTACATTTGTTCTAATTGGTTGCATGCCATATAGAATGAGAGAGAGATACTTGATGCAAAAGAAAAGAATTGATAAACAATAAATGAGTAGTCGAAATCATGTTGAATAGCAATTCATACTTCTGTTTGTTGATGAGTGAAAGATTGCTTGAGATACAGCCACAGAACAGCTCAATGAAATTGTAACAGGTTAACATGTTTTGCTCAGCAAGAAGCCCTTCTGCCTGCATCATCACGCAAAAGAAATCATTAGCTCTGATACTCAGGACATGAAGACTTCATCTGCCTGTGTCTGTTGTCAAAGAGTATATTTTTATTTTTAAGAAACATGAGTTTATCAGCTAAATTGCACAGGACTTTCAAGAAGGTGCATTTGGATTAATGGAAAGCATGAAGCGACGACAAATTAGGTCCCACGAAGATTTATTATTAGTTTATTACTATACTAGAAAACGTCATGGAGAGATGTGCCTTGGAAATCTTGCAAGGATGCCATGTTTTTTCCCTACAGAAGAAAACAACGGAAAAGGTTCCATAACCAAAATAAACAGCTGGGTTTTTGCAGATGACTGATATAAACAAAAACAGATAAACCCATAAAGAAAGTGATTTCTTGACAATTACAGAACGTGATTGGAAATGTGCTAATTAATGGCTTTAAGAAACAAAAACTCAGGCGTCCACATCATAGAAAACCTACGGAAAATCAAATTCACTTTGTCCATTTGATGTATAAAATCGAAAGAAAAAAACTAACCCTGCAGAAAGCGTTGTAAGCAAGATCAGTTCTGATGAGATCAGCCATATCATTCTTTAAGTACATTATGACACTGTTCTTCTTCTTCGTTAAGACGTCAAGACGTGTCTTCGTCATCCTTACCAATGTCTTGCTGCATCAACAAAGAAAAACAAATGAACCAACCAATATCAATCAGCAAAACAGAGCAGCATCTATAAAACAGAAACAATAAAAGACAAAAACAAAACCAGGTATTTCAAACTACCATTTTGTATAAAACTTGGACTTTGTAAGCCCGTCAAACATTTTGATCTCTATAAGCCTTCAACAAATCACAAAAAAAAAATCTTGTAGAGACAAAAAGATCGCCTTCAACAAATCACAAAAAAAAAAAAATCTTGTAGAGACAAAAAGATTATGTCTTTTTTTTAAGAAAAAAAGATTATGTCAAAAAAACCAATATCAATCCTTGTTTGCTTTTGTTTATCTTTTCGTTTGTGTTTTCTGGGGTTGTTCTTTTAAGCAAGGATGCGGTAAAAAGATGAGCAGAAATGCAGAAAACGGGCATCAAGTATATGCATTAAGGAGAGCGAGAAGCAAAACAATGAAACAACTTCGAAGAGGGAAGAAAGGCAAGAATTTGGAAGAAGCAAAACTGAGGAGATTGGTGATTATCTTTTAATTCAAAGAAAAGAAAGAAACAAATAAATGGGCTCTAAATTAACAAGATTTTTATCTCAATGTAAGGAGTTTAGCTTGGTTTTAGGGAGGGAATATATATCGGCAACGAGGAAGCTCAAAGGCTCTTGGCCTTTTTTTCCAAAGGGAGAGAAAGGGTAGAAAGAGAGAATGCCTTTTTTAGAGAGAGAGAATCTTGCCACGTAGGACTCTTTCCCGGGTGTTTTTCCTTTCTAGCCTGGTTTGAAAAAGTTCTGTCAAGCTAGCACCGGTCAATTTTATTTTTAGAAAGTATAATTTGGTCAATTTTATTTTTAGATAGCATAATTTAGTTAAAATAGGTTAAAAATATATATCATTAAATTAATGTTTTTTAAGGTTTATAATGATTTTCATGAACTGATATAAAAAAAATTACTTTAATATATTTTTAAATAAAAAATATTTTAAAAAAAATATTACTACTTTGAGCTATTAAGATTTTCTATTTGAGTATATTTTTAATTTTGCAGTTAATAATGCATTTCTCGAGTAATTACCACTTCTATAGATTTTACCAAATGAAAGAGAAACGATTTAGCCATTTTAATTGGTTGGATTAGTGTTGAGTCATTATGGGTCTTCTGACTTTGCAGCATGTTCAAGCCTTAGTTAAACTGTGTATGAGTATGATTTTGATTGTTTTTTAAAATATTTTAAAAAAATATATTAAAATTATTTTTTATTTTTAAAAAATTATTTTTAATATAATGTATTAAAATAGAATAAAAATATTAAACATATATTAATTTAAAAAAATAAAATAAAATTTAAATTTTTTTAAAATATAAAAACAAATAATACATTTGGTAGCAATATATATATATATATATATAAAGGGTACGAGGAATTTATTGTTTATCCACTCTTAATACACTGTTGATTACAGTAATCACAATGCATTCTTTTTCTTTTTCACTTTTTGTTTGTACTTTTCCTTTTTTTCCTTTTTGCTTTTTTTTTTGTCACTTTTTTTTTATTTTTTTTTTCACTTTTTTTACCTTTTCTCCCCCATTTTTTTTCCAAAAATTATCTTTATTTATTTTATTTTTTTAATATTGAACTAATTAACAATTTTGCTTTGTAATTTTTCTCCTTTGAAATGCTGTGGATTGTTACGGTATTTTTTTATATAGTTTTTTATTTTATTTTTTATTTTTTAAAATTATATTTATTGATTTTATTTTTTTAATATTAAGCTGATTGAGAATTTAGTTTTATAATGTTTTTTAAAACATTATTAATTGCTATAGTGTTTCTCCATGTGATTTTTTTTAATGATTTTCTTTAAAATTTTCTTTTTATATTTTATTTTTTAATATTGAGCTACTTAAGAATTATAGTTACAATATGTGAGAGAAATACTATAACTGCAAATTATTTTGGATTGCTATAATATTTTTTTTCCACATAGTTTTTTTATGTTTTTTTTTAAATTATCTTTATCAATTTTATTTTTTTAATATTAAACAAGTTAAAAATTACAATTATAACTAAATACAAATATGGTTAAATCATGAAGGGAAAACACTATAACTTTCCTCACAAACACTATAGATTGATATAATTTTTCCTCACATGGTTTTTTTTCAATTTCTTTTATGTTTTTTTATAATATTTTTTAAATTATCTTTCTCGATATTTTAATATTAAGCTAGTTAGAATTTAACTTTGTAATAAATTTTAATTATATGGAGAAAACATTGTAGCTTTCCTCGTAAAACATTATAGATTGCTACAATGTCTCTGCACATAATTTATTTTTCTTATAATTTAAAAAAGAAATTATCTTTGTCAATTTTATTTTTTTAATATTAAGATAGTTGAGAATTACAATTATAAGTCATTATAAATAAAATTAAATCATGTGAGAAAATACTGTAACTTTCAATACAAAACACTGTTAATTGCTATAGCATTTCCAGTATGGTTTTTTTTGTCCTTACTTGTTTTTTGAAAATTATCTCTCGATTTTATTTTTTTAATATTGAGCTAATTGATAATTTAGCCTTACAATTTTTTTCTTTAAAACACTATGAATTGATGCAGTGTTTTTTCATATATTTTTTTATGATTTTTTTTAAAATTATCTTTGTTGATTTTTAAAAAAAATATTGAGTTGGTTAAAAATTATAATTACAATAAAAATAAATCGTATATGAAAAGTATTGTTGTTTTCCTCACAATGCACTATAGATTGTTAAAGTATTTTTCTAAATGGTTTTTTATAATTCTTTCTAAAATTATTTTTATCAATTGTATTGGGAAAAACACTATAGTTTTCCTTGTAAAACATTGTCAATTGCTACAATGTTTTTCCTTATAGTTTTTTTCTTTCAAAATTATTGTCAATTTTTTTAATATTAAATTGGTAGAAAATTTAGCTTTGTAATGTTTTTTTTCTTTTTATTAATAAAAAAACTAAATCTTTTAGTGAAAGTACTATATCTTTTTTTATAAAATATTATGGGTTACTATAAATTATTTTATTCAGTCTCTAAGTTTTTTATTATTAACACAATTTTTTTTCTTATGAGATATTGGTTCTATTATATTTTTAATTTTTATTATTTATCTAACATTGATTTATAATTATAATACTATAAAATATATTTATTTTATAAATTCATAAAAATAAATATAATGAAAAGATGAAACATGGAGCTTGACTCTCTCCGGTCTCAACACGGGCTTTTTAAAGACGTGCCATTATCTTTAAGTGTTCTTTAGCTCTCTTACAATAACAACAGAATAGGTTACTCATCATTATCCTCTCTTTTTTTTAAGTTCCATCGAGTAAATTTTGTATCATAGATTAGATAAGGTATTCTGAATTAACTCATATCAATTAATTTTATTTATTTTGTAAAAAGATAATATCATTAAAAAATAAAAAGCAAGTCAATAGATTTTGACCTGATTTTTTACTAGAATATACTGAGTTGATTCTTTTATTATTGTTGAAACTTGACCCCACCTAAGTCTCAGGTTAGCCGGGACCAACATTCATTAGATCGTTTGGTCAATTTCTTGATGCAAGGAATGCCACGAGTTGAAAAGAGTTAATTGAACAAAGTAATTAGAGAGACTCCGCGCAAACAAAGCAAGTAGTCAAAAAGGATTATCAACTTTTTAGCTGGCTCGTAGTTGCCTTTTAATTTCCACCTGGGCATAGACATGGATAAAGAACAGCAAGTCTATGCTCGGTCGTTCGGTTTGCATTATTTTAGGCTGAAAATAAGGGGAAGAAAGGGGAGCTCCACGTGTTAGGGAGTAGAGTTAACAACCGTGTTGCTTATTGTATCAAAAAGCATGCCATAGAAAATCATGAAGCTGCCACAGATTCTGTGGTGGGGTAAAGGGAAGTAAAAATATATAAATAAATAAATAAATAAGGGGCCTGACTAGACCACAGCTGTGAACAACATATTGCGTGGTTATAATTTCTGCGAAAGTTGGTGTTTTCCTTTATTTATTTCATAGATTCGGATTTTAGGGTAAACATTTAGGAGAATTTATTAATTTTTTCATAGTGCATCAAGTTCATGTCGAGGGTGCTGACTCGGCATATAACATGGATAGAGTTTTCAATCTTTAAAGTTTTAGGATCCTAAACTGTAGAGAAATAAAATAAGATTCTTAATCCATAAAGTTACACCTCTTAATTGTAGATAAAGCATTGATAATATCTAATAAATCTTTATTTCATTTATTCTCTTCTGAAAAATAGTTTACAGTGTTGTTTAAATACAAAAAGAATGGTCTAATTAGTAAAGTTCTAATCAAATTCAATATCTTGAGTGAAGTAGGAAAAAGAAACCAAGAACAATGGAGAAAAATAAAGAAAATCACTACTATAAAATTAAAAAACACGTAAAGAATATTTCATTAGTATTTAGATAAAATTCAATCAATAATTTTACTGCTATCAAAATTATTGACAAAAAAAATCATCAAAAAGTATCTTTTCAGGTTTTTTTCCTCGATATTTTTATCAATAATAAAATTAACAATAAAATCAAAATCAATGATAAAATATTCATATATAAAAATCATATTTTATAACCATTTTCCATTTGAAAACTCCATAGGCATCAAAATTGTTGTCAAGATATTTTATTGTTGGTCTTGTCATAAAATCCTAAACTTTTTATAAATTTTATCAAAAGTTCAAGAATATATGTCAAGATTTTAGTTATTATTAATGAAATTATCTTTTTATTTCATCTATGTTTTTACTTTTTTTCTTTCGTTTAGTTGTTATAATCCCTAAAACAAACCCATGATAACTCCTTTACATTTTCTAGCCAAGAATTAGAACCCCATTTCCACATTTTTCCACAACAATTCTCCCACTAAACACACAACAACAATACCAACAATAAGCATTTTTAAGCCAATAATTTATCACAATAAACCCACAATCACAACAAAAACTATATTTTCAATGATTCAAAAAAATAAAAACAAATTAAAAAAATATACAATAAAATTATCCAACAAATATAAATATAATGATTAAAAAACACCAACAAATGTCTTACATATTTTCAATTTTGTTACACAATGAAAGATCACAACTAAATCAATTCAACTCCTTTTAATTAGAATCCTTCTCTATATTTTTATCATCATTATTGTTGCGCGTATGCAGCATCACGACGATCATTCATTATCCAGGAAAAGATGGAAATGATGTATTTCTATCAAAATATAAAGAGACAAGGAC